CTCCAGGTTGAGCTGTTGTTCAGCATCTTAGCTGTGGAGGGCAGTGTCACTGGCCCTCATATGTGGGATCCAAACCGGGGCCCTCTGGTGTCCCAAGCTGGTTCTTAACCATCGCGCCCCTGGGCCGGTCCTGTCGTTGCTGTTTTTAGTTGTTTAAACATTATGGTTCTGAGTTGCAGGAAATCTTACCAAGCCAAAAATTGTCCCTTTCTCTTTTTTGGATCGAGGTTGCTGGTGCTTCTATCGCAAATTAAAAAAAAAAAAGTTATTGTAAGTTATTTTTAAATTCTGTATGTTTCAGCATACGAAACAGAACGAATTAATTTTTTATTGTGGTAACATACATAACAAAGTTTACCATGTTAACCATTTTTAAGTGTATAGTTCAGTGGCATTAATTATATTCACATTGTTGTGCAAACGTCACCATTATCCATATCTCGAACTTTCTCATCTTTCCAAACATACACTCTGTGAATTAATCATTAAGAGTGTTATAAAAACATTTCTTAAAGTACTGATGAAATAATGGCTGGGATCACTTTAAAGATTTGAAACCATACCATTTAGCATGCATGTCACAAATGATCATTGTTTTACTGCATATGGTGATTCTTTTGGATTTACTATAGAAAATAAATACATTTTTCTTTAACAGAGAAAACTTAAAGTAGTATAATCCCGCCCCCCCCCCAACCCCCTCAACATCCCACAGTTATGAATCTTAGTTACTTCATTCAGGAGGTCAGAAAGTATCATTTAAAATTGTATACAGCCTAAGATGACATAAATGAGGAGATGAAATATACCAGAAGTTTCTCTATAATTATTCTTCGTTAAGCTAGGCACAGAAGGTAGAATTCTAATTGTAGGAAAAAATGTTATATGAGATAACATGTAAAGTGCTTAGCTTAGTGCTAGACATAGTGGTGCTCATTAAATTTAGCTCACTTCTGTGGACATTTAGCATATTTTAGCTAATTGCTTTAAATTTCCTTTGAAAAATAAAATGGCTGTATTGGCAACTGTTTCTTGCTATGTAGTTTTGAATGAATAGCATTATCATTTGCGTTTGCCATCAGAAAAGTGCTAGCAGTCATTAAGCAGAGATAGAGCTGGATTCAGAGACTATGTATTTTTACAATACTTTTTGCAGAGGCTCTTTGCTTTATGTGGGTTCTTAAATTAATCTCAAGATATGTTCCTTTTGTGGTTGCAGATTGTGAGTTGCTTGGTATTATTTAAAAATAGAGTTGTGTTTTTTTTTTAATTGGGGAATTGGGGGGAGGGGAACAGTGTTGGGGAATTGGGGAAGGGGACCAGCCAAGCTGTTGTTCTTCAATCAGTGTGGAGGGTGCCAGTCGCCATCTGGCTGCCTGTGGGCAGCTCATGGCCTCTAAGCTCAAGGTGCTGTGTTAAGTCTTAGTTGCGGGTGGGCATAGCCCACCATCCATGCGGGAGTCGAACCAGTAGCCTTGTTGTTAAGAGCGCATGCTCTATCCATTGAGCCATCCGAGTGGCAGCGCAGCTCAAGGTGCCGAGTTCTGTATTAGTTGGCGGGCAGGCATAGCCCACCATTGAACAGGCAATCTTCTTGTTAGGAGCACGCTCTCACCAGCTGAACAGGCAGCTCAGCGGCAGCTCAGTTCAGGCGCTGCGTCACTGGCCCATGTGTCACTGGCCCATGTGGGAATCGAACCGGAGGCCCTGTTGCTCAGAGCTCCCATTCTTAAACTAACTGTTAACCAACTGAGCCACTCGACCGGCCCAAAAATAGAGTTTTGAGAGACGTTTATTTCTGTAATACTTTTTTTTTTTTGGAGGGGAGGGTCTTCAATGGTATGCTTTTGCAATATTTGAAACTTTTGGGCAAATACCCATGTTTTGTAGTCAAGACTCAGCTTCTCATACTGCTTGCCCAAATGTTATGGTAAAAAGAATTGTGCTTTAGTGTTATGTTGGAGAGATGTCTTTCTAAAGGTCTGTCCTTTGAGGTTTTATTTGTTTTACTTTTTAAAAGTAAGTGGTTGTAATAATTTGTGGCATTCAGGCTTGGGTAAACTGTTACTTAAAGCTAGTGTTGATGGGGAAAAGGGATTAAAAATTTATTGACAGTTTTCAGTGACTTAGAATATGAAATGCTTCATTTGATTAATTTCATTATACCTGTAAACTATATAAAGATATTTCTTATTACGGTGCTTAGACTTGCAGCTTAGTGTTGGTTATATGCCTAACTAAATTAAAATTGTATGTGTATTTTCCCCCAACTATGTAGTAAGTGCAAATACTTAAAAATATAAAAGAGAAATAAAATAAAAATTGAAAAATTGTTTTATATATGTTTTTCTTTTGTGATATAAAACTTGGGCATTTATAGCATAAATGGGATTACTTTAAAATTGAATTTGGATGGTCAGGAAATCTTTAAAGAAAATGAATTAGCTAGAAAGGTTAAAGAAAGTATGTATAGAACTTACCATTTGGGTGAAGTTAAACCTCTTTGAAAGTATAGGTCCATAGTCCCTCATTCACAACTCTGATATATAAAGAGCTCTGAAAACAAAGTTTTTGGTAGAATTTATTTGATGGTAACATTTGACCTCATCTGATGTTAGAATATTTAGTCAATTCATCTCTCTTAGTATAAATAGTAATAGCTTTCCCTGGAGAAATATTAATGTGTTTGATTTGAGGGTGTTACCCTGGACTCCCAAGAGGGTTTTGGGGAACATACTGTATATGGTATATATACTTTCATTACTATTCTATAATCCAAAAAATTCTGAATTCAGAAATATCTTGCCTCAAGGTAAGGCCAATGTAGACCAAGAAAATGTAGTCTTAT